ATTCGGAAGACACTGACAGATCAGGTAATTGTGAAAACATAGCAAGCCAAAGCAAATACGCAAGGTTTGCACACATAAACGAAGAGAATCATGAGTTCATGTTACAGGGCCGTCAACGGACATCGAAAGATTCTGCGCGGGAATGGATCCCGAGGCCCTCCTTGCATATGCGCAGGCCAGACTCAAACAGAGAAAGACCACATCAATCGGACACAGGTACGCATATGATGCTTCTTCAAAATGAGGCAAGAAACAACTCTGCTGTTGAGTTTACCATGAAAGACGTCATGCTAACGAATGTACTACCTGATGTTCGACCGTTCCATGGTAAACCAACAGAGAGCTTCAAAAGTTTTGTGGAAGCATTTTTGATAAAATACTCAAAAATGTACTGGGACGATCAATACTTGATCAGAATTTTTAAGAGTTTCTTAAGAAGGGAAGCTTTAAATTTATATGAAACATTGCCGCAAAGTATAAAAGAGGGCTCTTTTGACGGTGTTGTCCAGGCAATGGCGGAACGCTTATCGGAAGGGGGCAACACTTCATGTGTAAAAGGCTTGAAAATGTTGAGAAGTCTTAAAATACGGGACAATCAATCAGTTAGTGATTTCTGCGTTGTACTGGAGAAAGCGGCCTCCCAGGCGTTTCCTAATGAAGATTTGAAGGGGCTCTCACTCCTGAAAGCAGAAATCCTATACTCGCAGCTGACGAAGTGGGAAGGCAGCTTTATTTTAGCAGAGGCGCTTGAAAAAAGCCCTAAGGACACAGTGTACGACAACGTCAAGGATGCAGCCTTGATGTTAGAAAGGAACCTATGCCGAAAGGACGAAAAATCGGAGGGAGGTTCACACCACAAGAGGCTGCACGCCGACCGAGCAACACCGAGACAGTGGGTGAAGTCGCAAAAGGAGGTCGTGGAAAGAAATGGGAATAATACACCAGTGGAAGAAAAAGGAATAAAGAAGACACTAAACTATGCAGATGCTCCCAGACAATGCTTCAACTGTGGGAAAATGGGACATAAAGCCAAGCAATGTACGGTGCAAATCACCAAAACCGATACTTCTAGGCAAGAGGGAGAAAAGGAGGCGGCACTCTTTTCAACTGTTCTTGACAGTTGGTTGTGTGCCAGCACGGACGCCAAACAAAAAGCGGGTGAATTCTTCGGAAGAAAATTATTAGTACCGGCAACGGTAATGAACTTGGAGATAAGGGCACTCATTGATACGGGCTCGGAAACGTCCATAGCTCCACTGCAGCTTTTCAAGAAGGCAAGAGATGCAGGAATAGACGTCGACGCGTATGTAGAGAGAGTTCCAAAAATGACTGACGTCACGATACGCACTGCCTCAGGAGACAAAATGGAAATCTTGGGCGCAATAAAAGTCCCCGTAGAAGTTTGTGGCAAGACTGAGAACATCTCCCTATTTGTAAGCAGGTCACTTGAGGATCTACTGATTTTGGGAACAAACGCACTAGGCAAGTTTGGCTTCAAAGTGACAAATGGTGACACCGCTTTCGACTTAGCCGGTAAACAAGACAGCACGCAATCGTTTCCAGCCAAAGTGAAGAAGCGAACATATATACCAGCGGGAGCGAGCAGGATGGTAACGGTGGCGTATTTGAAAGGAGTCTCCGCGCGTATATTCTGTTCAAACTCCCCTCAGATACCAGATGGAATCTGTCAACCGGTAGCCAAAGGAGAGACGGAAATACCGGTGACAAACAAGAATAACCAACCGTTAGTACTGCAAAAAGGGCAAACTATTGGGAACTTCGAAAACGGCGAATGGATTGACAGTAAGTGGTTGGAGCCAACGGCAGATGCTCTCGACTTTCACAACGGGAAAAACAAGACTGGAGAACAAAGAGTGCAGGAAGTGATAGCGGCACTCAAAACAAATGACAAATACCCGGAAGAATTGCTGAAAGTTATCAGACAGTATGCAGACGTGTTCGCGATCAACGACTCCGAACTGACACAAACAAACTTGGTAACTCACAACATCGATACAGGGAGTCATCCACCAATTAAGCAAAAGAAGCGATCAGTACCCATAGGAGCCCGACAAGAATTCAAACAAATCATCAAAAACCTCGAAGAGAGAGGAATTGTCCGGAAAAGTAGGTCGGAATGGGCATCACCAGTGGTGTTAGTGAGGAAGAAGGACGGAACCTTGAGACTTTGTGTGGATTACAGAGAATTGAACAAAGTCACAAAACATGATTCCTATCCCCTTCCATCAATCGACATTATTCTACAAAGTCTCAGTGGAAAAAAGTACTTCTCCACCCTGGACATGATATCAGGATATTGGCAGATACGATTATCAGAAGATGCCAAGCAAAAAAGTGCTTTCACTACAAGCGAAGGTCTCTTCGAGTTTGAAGTCCTGCCGTTCGGATTGACAACCAGTCCAGCAGAGTTTCAGCGCATGATGGACATGGTCTTAGAAGGGTCAGGAGTCAAAGACAAAGAGGTCTTTGTATACATAGACGATATCTTGATCGCCACGGAGTCACTGGAAAGGCACTATGCTGTCCTTGAGCTCGTATTGGAAGCTCTAAGGAAAGTCAATCTCAAGCTAAAACCACAGAAGTGCGAAATTCTGAAGCCGCAGGTAGTCTTCCTCGGACACATCATCGACAAAAATGGAGTACACACAGATCCGGATAAGATAAAACGGATAGTGGAATACCCAACTCCAACGAAGTTGAAGGAGCTTCGCACCTTCTTGGGCATGGCAGCGTACTATCGGAAATTCATACTGAACTTCTCGAAGATAGCTAAACCACTCTATATGCTCACAAGTCCCAAGAATGCATGGAAATGGGCAAAGGAGCAAGAGGATTCGTTCAGCAATTTGAAACAAAGGCTATGTACGACACCAGTTTTAGCGCAGCCGAATATCGCAGCAGCAAGGGAAGGAACGCATCCGTTTGTCATATATACGGATGCATGTACAGAAGGCTTAGGCGCAGTACTGTGCCAAGAAAGTACGGACAAGATGCTACATCCTATCTATTTCGCCTCAAGAGGACTAACAAAAGCCGAAGCCAAATACCACATTACGGACTTGGAGGCCTTAGCTCTCGTTTTCGCACTGAAAAAGTTTCATTTCTTCGTATATGGAATGAAGACAATAGTTAAGACTGACCACCTACCTCTGACAAGTTTGTTCAAAAGAACTACCATCTCTGCAAGAGTCTTGAGGTGGGCTTTAGAAGTACAGAAATATAACTTGGAAATCCAGTATGTAAAAGGGAACACAAATGCAGTAGCGGACGCTTTGTCGCGCACGGCAGTCCCAGTAGAATCAGCGCTGTGTGAAGAAAATGCCGCCATAGTGTGCACGGCACAATCACAAGCCAAAACGGAATGGCTCGAAGAATTGAGCCAAGATACGGACTACGCAAAGGTAGTCGAAGGCCTTGAACAGGGTAGAATGGACAAAGAGATCCAACTACCAAGATATGGAAAAAAGCTGCATATTGCAGATTTCCTCATAAGCGAAGGACTGCTTATGATAATGATAGGGGACAAGGCACTGAAAGTAGTCCCGAAACCAAAGAGGAAGGAACTATTTGATGAAGCGCATGCAGGTGCGTTAGCAGGGCACCTCAACGCTAAGAAGTTGTACCGGAAGTTAAGCAAAGACTTCTTCTGGAACGGAATGCAAGAAGACATAGCAAAGTGGACAAAAGCTTGTACGAAATGTTTCGTAACAAGACCACACGAGAAGAATACCCCTCCACTGAAGCCAATCGTGACAAACAAACCGTTTGAGTTGGTAGGCATGGACCTAGTGGAGTTGGGATTGACAGAAAGGGGAAATAGATACGCATTGGTGGTGATTGATCACTTCTCCAAGTTTGCAGGAGCGTACCCCATTGCGGATAAAAAAGCCGAAACAGTGGCAAGAACACTCTTTGAAAGATGGGTATGCGGAGGTTGCCGCTGGCCCAAAGCTATACACTCCGATCAAGGGCCGGAGTTTGTGAACAATGTTCTGTCGGAAATTTGTGCCATTGTGGGGATAGAACAGTCTGTAACGAAAGGCTACAACCCACGCGAAAATGGAATCACCGAAAGAGTGATCGGCACACTAACTAGAATGCTGAAAAAGCAGACGAGTTTTCGAAGTCACTTCGATGTCATTTTGATGAATCCACCATTTGGAACGAAAAATAATTCAGGTAATTTTGTTGTTTTTTTTTTCACATACAGTTGCCACAATTTTTCAGGTATTGATTTGTGTTTCGTAAAAGCTGGCTTGAAGATGGTACGTATCAATGGTAGTGTGTTTTCTTTACACAAAACGTCTACGAGGGAGTACATCCTCAAAACGGCGAATAAATGGGACGATACAGAAGTAAGTTTAAACACATGCTGATTATTGATTCATCTTCCGCTCACTTAATCATTTGAGAGGCTGGCACATATTTGGCATAGGGAGGGGGAAGAAGAGTGAGAGAACGATGGTAGAGAGGGGATAAATTATCACTCTCAATTTCGCAGATTCGAGAAGTCTTAAAAGCTTCAAACCAACTTTTTGGATTTGCAAATAGCGAAAAACAGAGAACTGGAGCAAAAAAATGCTGCTACATTATACACAAGATTCGAATTTAACTCCTACCCACATAAAGGATGTGCCCAAAGGAAACACAAGAGGGTCACTGCCAAATAACCAGGCATTTCAGCGAGTTTACACAGACCCTGAATTTTGCACTACTTAAGGAACCACATTCTGCCGCCAACATCCAAATAAGAAATCATCACCGCACTGCAAGATAAAAATTCGCCAGAATCAACTTATTTTTAGGCAGAATGTGTTGCCCAGTTGCGGTGGGAGCTGCCCGCTACATACAAGTTCCACAAAAAGAAAGCAGTGGATATCGACGTTGATTTGATACACTATAGAAGAGTATAAATATCTTTATCATACCTGTACACTTAGAGGAATGCTAGAAGCTTAACAGTTATGCACAATTTTTATTCAATCTTCTTCACCGGCAGGCAGGTTATCTCTCAAAATCTGGTCAAACTTGATCTTGATCTCAGTATTTGTGGGATTTTCAATGACACTTGAGTACACCTGCAAGATATTGCAATTTTTCTCGAGACAGCATATATGATGCTGTGATTACCTTAAAATGTAAGGCTTCAAGTCCTCCTCGGATAGCTCCAGCAATAATTTGGGAGTAGTTCAATGAGGACAATGAGGCAGGAACTTCAACAAGCTCCGTCAGCGGATTATTTTCAATAATAAGAGAAAATTCACGGTCACCACCGCCCCAGTTTGATACTGTTGCGGGTACGCCTGAAACATAAAAATATCAGTGCGACAGCTCTGTGCTGAAATTAACGCTGACATAAACGCAATCAAAAAATGGGGCAGTGATCAATCACAGGTTGCAAATCAAAGCTATAAATAAACACAAGCAAGAGATTATTTACCTAAATAGGTGGGGATGGCATTCTCTGATAGTACGTCTGCTATTTGCCGACAGTCCGTGCACTTTGCCACGTGCGCATTCCTTGCCAGAATCATCGGCTAATCGTGTTCCCATATTGAAACCAATCTGGAAATATGCGGTATAGCTCATAGCTATATAACTCAACAAACAAGCAGATCTACCTTGTCTAATCGCATGTTCACTTGCTTCGGGTCCTCATAGCCTCGCAGCATCTCGGTAACAAGTGCACCATAAGTCAGCGAGAACAGCTCGGCACTCATTTGAAAAATTTAACTGATAGTTAACTTATATAGTTGAGACGAACGAAAATTTTTTTCGAATGAACGAATTTCGAATAATCCAATTTCAAAAATTATTCGAACGAACGAATATTATTCGAATTGTGATTTTTGAAATATTCGAACTCGAATATTCGAATATTGATACTTTTCAAGAATTCGACTATTCGAATAATCGAATATTTGGACGTGACCGAATATTCGACTATTCGAATAATCGAATAATCACATTTGACCGAATATTCGACTATTCGAATAATCGAATAATCAGGCATGACCGAATATTCGACTATTCGAATAATTCAAATGAATCTAGTCTTGGATAAACTCAGTCCGAATTTCCTTCTGTGGCAGCATTTTGCAACAGGTGTGTCAAGTGAACAAGTCAACAAGTGACGCTTAGGTTGGGTGGGGGTCAGAGGTGCGATAGGGGGAGCCGGGTCCCCCAAAAGTGAAGGTGGTTTCAGCTACCACTGGCCGGCCAAAAGTGAAGGTGGTAGTGTCGGACACTCACCTCCCAAAAACGTCGACGGGGGGGGGGAGGTGCGGGGGGGAGGATAGAACGGACGAACGGAGCTATCTTTCTAGGTCTAACGTCGACCCAACGGCCCTCTTTAGGGCCACAGATACGATGAATATTAAAAATATCTATAAATTTTATTTATAAAAATTTAAAATAGACGTGTTTAGTAAATGGTGTATTTGGAAGTAGAAGTTTGTTGGACTGTACGGATTTTATTAAGCAAATTTTGTTATAACGTACAGCGAAGAAAGTAGATCGATCCAGGCAGTAACGGCCGAGAATCAGAATTTCGAATAAATAAATAGTGAAAAATCATGCAAAATTTCCACTGTTATAAATCTGTTGTTTGAAGATGTCAGCAGTTGCGACTTCATAGGTTTTAAAGAGTAAATGTTGCTCTATCAGCTAGTGAAGGAATCTGGTCGATTTAAGAGATAGTCGTTGAAAACCAGAGTTCTAAAACTTTACGCCATTTTTGCGTGTTTTTTGACTGTTGAGAGTTAAACTCTTATAAATCTTGAATGTGGAAGTGTATGATGTTGCGACTTCATAGGTTTTATAGAGTAAGGTTTGCCTTATCAGAATATGTCTTGTCCGTTCCGATCCATTGAAACACCTCCGAGATCCAGAGTCATGAAAAAGCAGGTAAAAAAGAGCTTTTTGAACTTCAACAGCTCATAACTTCTTCAGGATTGCACGAATCATGTTGCGACTTCATAGGTTAGATTCTTCTCGTCAAGAGCTTTTAGATGATATATAATATGTGGGGGTTTCGCGCCTCTTACGGCATATGCCCGGGGGGGGGAGACTTTTTAGGCCAAAGTCTCCCCCGGCAGCCTCCAGCCAATACATTAAAATGGGCGAGGGGGAGACTTTGGCCTAAAAAGTCTCCCCCCCGGTCATAATTCGCAGGAGGCTCTAAACCCCCACATATTATATATCATCTGAAAGCCCTTGATGAGAGGAATCTAACCTATGAAGTCGCAACATGATTCATGCAGTTCTGAAGAAGTTATGAGCTGTTGAAGTTCAAAAAGCTCTTTTTTACCTGCTTTTTCATGACTCTGGATCTCGGAGGTGTTTCAATGGATCGGAACGGACAAGACATATTCTGATAAGGCAAACCTTACTCTATAAAACCTATGAAATCGCAACATCATACACTTCCACATTCAAGATTTATAAGAGTTTAACTCTCAACAGTCAAAAAACACGCAAAAATGGCGTAAAGTTTTAGAACTCTGGTTTTCAACGACTATCTCTTAAATCGACCCGATTCCTTCACTAGCTGATAGAGCAACATCTACTCTTCAAAACCTATGAAGTCGCAACTGCTGACATCTTCAAACAACAGATTTATAACAGTGGAAATTTCGCATGATTTTTCACTATTTAAATATTCAAAATTCTGGTTCTCCGCCGTTACTGCCTGGATCGATCTACTTTCTTCGCTGTACGTTATAACAAAATTTGCTTAATAAAATCCGTACAGTTTTGCTAAGCTTTACTTCCAGATACACCATTTACTAAAAACCTTTATTTTAAATATATATGCCGCCGTATACATAAATATATGCTTTCAATAATCTTTTTTGCGTTTGTTTTGCTTATTTTCCTTCTTTGTCGTCCAGCGAAAAATTTTTTATTCCAAAAGTGAAGGTGGTCACCCCGTACCAGCTCAAAAGTGAAGGTAGGGGGAGACTTGGCTCCCCCTATCGCACCTCTGGTGGGGGTTGGCAATAAGTGACGCTTAGGTTTTTTTGGGGCTGGCAACAAGTGACTCTAATTTTTATGTAATTCTTCTTTTAATTCCCACTATGACTGTGAACCGTAAAGGTCCTATAAAGTCCCTTGCTCGATGAAGTTCTTCGGTGGTGTAAGTATTAGGTTGTCCGGAAATTAATGCCCGTTTTGAATTTCAACCGCAATAAGCCATAAACTTCTCAATTCTAAATAGGTTGCAAAATACCATTCGATAGAGCAAATCAAGCTCTACAAGAGGACCATCTTGCTTTTGCGAAAGCTCTCATCCGTCTCGAGTTCCGACCCAAAAACTAAAAGAACTCGCAGCTCGAAAAAATCAAAGAAAAATCGTAACTCAGTTCATAAAAATCCTACAAAAATTCTCGCTTGCTCACGGAAACACTACCCACATAAAACATTTATATACGCCTTTGCCGTATTTTTTCCTCTGTCAGAAGCCAAGGAAACGGAAATTTTCGTGCATTTGCCAAAGTGATGCTGTGCCGTTCCCACATAAATAGTTGTATACCACATGCCTGTAGAAGTACAGACTTAAATTTTCAGCTCTCCACAAAATTTAGTTCTCGTGAAATTTGAAATTTTGCTCCGACCACCTAACTAAGGAAAGCTATATTCGGTATTTCTCGAGAATTAAAGCTTGTAGAGAGCTGAAAATTTAACTCTGCACTTTTACAGGCATGTGGTATACAACTACCTATGTGGGGACGGCATAGCATCACTTTGGCAAATGCACGAAAATTTCGGTCTTCTTGGTTTCTAACAGAAGAAAAAATACGGCAAAGGCGTATATAGATATTTTATGTGGGTAGCGTTTACGTGAGCAAGTAAGAATTTTTGTAGGATTCTAACTGAGTTAAGGTTTTTTTTTGATTTTTCCAACTGCTAAGTCTTTTTAGATTTTGGCTCGAAACTTGAGATGGATCAGAGCTTTTGCAAAAACAAGATGGTATTCTTGTAGAGCTTGCTTTGCTCTATCGAATAGTACTTTGCAACCTATTTAGAAATGATAAGTTTATGACTTATTGTGGTTGAAATTCAAAACGGGCATTAATTTGCGGACAACCTAATATTACACGAGTTCACGCCAAGAAACTAGAGCACGATCAACCCCTAGCTTGAGCCGCAGAAACATAACGGGTGCTAGTAGTAATCCAATATGTAGCACAACAGCAATGCTGATTTGAATGAGTAGCTTCGTTATGCAGCTTTCGGATAAAGGCATGCGGGGAAGTCAAAACATGTATAGTAGCCGTCATCTGCCTAGTCACTGCCCTGCGTGCAAATGCACAACATTTTGAATCTCCGGATGAGGCAGGTTGTTCGCGCCAGTCCGTGCTTGCACACAAAGGAGCCAGACGGCTAATATCGCGACGCTAAAGTGTTTGGAGTTTGCTTTTGAAATTTCTCATTTTCTTCTCAGAGGAACATTATGCGATCGCAGTGCGGTGCAGTTGGTGAGTTTGAATTTACTGAATGATCCAGCACTGAAGCCTTGAAAAAACCTTGCGAACAACAGTGCTTTTTGTCATTCCTACCTTTGGAGTTCAAGCACGTTACTTCAACTAGATGTTGTTTATTACTATCAAGTCATCAAGATGTTGCCTTTAGAAATGCACTGCGGGTAAAACTTTACTGAAGAAGAATGCAAATCAAGAGAAGCTGTAAGTAAATCTATCTCCTGAAAAAGCGAGTCTCGTCTGATGGGACAAACAACACCCTAATGCAAAGTATCATTCTGTATGTGACTGCAGGAGACTCGAAACTGCTTTGCACACATTGTCAAACAACCATGATCGTGACGTTAACAGGTTTATACCTCCAGTCTGACCGATTTGGATTATTTGCTACTTGGAGAGGAAAAATCACGTTCAAACCGTTTAGGCAATGTGTGCAAAGCGGGGTCTCTAAATCACAGAATGAATGATAAAAGTCTTTCTTTGTAGAGAACTACTGATTTGAGTAATACAGGATGCCTGCGCTTACATGGTGCACCAATTTACTAAACAAGATCACCCTTCGGGCAAGGAAGCATAACGGGACTAGTGCACCATTCATATAATGATTCGATTATCTGGAGTTTTCGATCCAAATTTATCGCTTCAGGCACTCCTTAAAGCTTACATCACCTTGTAAGTATCGTGAACTGATCGTTAGTTCATCCAAACATGTTAACATTCAGCAGAATGCAGAAATTGATACTCTTCGTAGAGATCGTATTGGACTCCTCCGCTGGAAAAAGGTTTGAAAACTCCCATCCTCAACAAAATCGGCATTGATGACACTGTTAGCTGTCAATACAATGAATGATAGACGACAAGTTCATTCATTTGCGCAAAAAAGCATCAAAAAAATGAAAAAAGGACAATTCGGCGTTCCAAAATTAGCCTTCTTGCTGAATTAGCTTGATGACTTGATGTAAACAACATCATTCACTGTCAGAAGTAACGTGCTTGAACTCCAAAAGTAGAAATGACAAAAAGGACTAATGTTAGCAAAATCTTTTCAAGGCTTCAGTGCTGGATCATTCAGTAAAATCAAACTCACCAACGCATCGCACTGCGATTGCATAATATTCCTCTGAAAAGAAAATGAGAAACTTCAAAAACTCGACAGAAACCATCAATGACGTGGGTAGCTGCGTCCATACAAAGGAAGATAGTCGACAACTTGAGCAACAGGCAAAAAGTATCAAAAA